TCTGAAAGGTGAATTCTGATAATGAAGTGTTCATTCAGATAGAGACAAACAAATCGTTATCCTTTTATTAAGTTCTCGAGAAATGCAACCAGGAAATAGTTCATATATGATTGCGACACATTATTAATATAAGGTCTGTAATCGTTTATCAACAATATTTGTCAAGTCTGTGGGGATAGAAGGAGAGTCCATATATCTATCTCAATATTTTCACACACATTTTAGATCGCGTTGCAAAAAATGTGAATACGACTGTTGACGTAATCGTATTGTTCGATGTAGGCTGGTGTTTCAAATTCTAAATTATTGTAATTATATTTATGTATAAAACTTTCTAATTTTTTAGAGAAATATTGAACTGATTGATTAGAGACCATCGGTAAAAGATATCCAAAAATTTACAATAAATATCATAAGTTTCTGCAAAATTTTAAAGCTGAGTTTATTTTGAAGAGTATTTTTAACTAGGGTATAAGCTTAATAAATTAATTGACTATGAAAATGGGGTAGAAATAATTTAAGATTACGCTGCATGTGCAACAGTATGAACATCATTAGAATTTCGATTGCCATTTGTATTGAACTTCATTATATTGTTAAACACGATCTAAAAGAAGTATTGAAATACAGGAATGGAAATTGGGTCCCTACTGCAGACTATGACAGACGTTATTCATATACGATCGTAGACCATAAATCAATAACGTCTAGATGTTGAAGAGATATGTCTCACCATAGAAAGAATAAAATAATTTGCCTGTGATTAGCAACAGCAACTTCATTGTATTTCACATTACAGTCTTATAAAGATTGTGCTAACAGCTTTTAATTTGCTATTTTCTGCTTAATAAAGTAAAATGTATTTAATCAGCAAAAATTTTACAATAAGCTATAGTTTTGTTTTTTTTTATTCATATTCATTTATATTTCTAAATATATAGTGATTTAATAAAAATGAACTGATATTTTTGAACAATCAGACTCTGATTAGAAAGCTACGTTTTTTTTTATTTTGAACGTTCAGAAAGTCGAATAGACCAAAAAAATGCAATTTTTATCTGGACGTACGTTGTAGATAACACTTTCTCTTGGAATTGAAATAATATATCAACAAAAAAATTTTATTTAAGGACTCTTCAAATCGTATTGAACTTTGGCTTGGTACTGAATACCATGAAAATGGTTCTGTCTATGATTATCTTCAGAATCACACAATAACAATTCCAATTATGATTAATATGATGTTTACTATTGCTAATGGTCTTTTTTATTTACATATATCTATTGAGGCAACAAATGGTTTATATTTGTTTTCTCCGAAATATTTTCTTACAAATAAAATTTTGATTTTTTTTTTCTTTTAAAGGAAAACCTGCACTTGCACATCGAGATTTAAAAACAAAAAATATTTTAGTTAAAAAAGATTTATCATGTTGTATTGCAGACTTAGGTCTTGCCGTTAGCGAAGTTCGTCCAAAAAATAGTGATTTACGTAATAATAATAATAATAAAGAACGTATTGTTATTGATGTTAAACCACATCATCGTGTTGGTACAATACGTAAGAAGATGAAATATGAAAAAAATATTTATACATTTGTTTTATTTAGGTTATATGGCACCAGAAATTCTTGATAAAACACTCAATGAGCAAATTTTTGAATCTTATAAAGCTACTGATCTTTATGCATTGGGACTTGTTTTTTGGGAAATATTACGAAGATGTCATACAACTACAGCGGGTTTCTATAAAAATGAGTTTTTTTTAAATATTCTTTTATTTAATTCGATTTATAAGACAATGATGCTGATGAATATAAACTTCCTTATCAAGATGTTTTACCAAATAATCCAACATTTGAGCAAATGCATGAAGTTGTATGTATAAAAAAAATTCGACCTGAATCTTCACCTCGATGGGAAAATAATTCAGTAAAAATAATTCATCATATAAAATTTCGGATGAAAATTTTCTTTGTTCTAGACTTTTTGTAATATATTTACTTCATGTCAAGAATTATGGACTGAAAAACCAGAATGTCGTCCAAGTAGTTATATTATTAAAGAAAAACTTAGAAATCAACAAAATCAATAGTTAATAAACTATTATATATAAATATGGAATTCTAAAAATGTACATCTGAAAATAATTTAATCTATTTTCAAACTTTGTATTTTCTTATGAACAGTATTAAGATTATTTACTTTTCTTGTTGTTATATGTGTTTCAATTAACAAATCAAAAAAAATTATATGTTAGATTTTATAATTAACTGTTTTCTAATAATTCTCTGGCATGCTTGCATCGATTTTATTTATTTTTTTACTTCGTTATACATAAAAACAAAAAAACCAAACTTATTGATTAAGTTTAAAATCAATTTGTATTTATTTTCAGTATAAAGTAGAAATATCATCATTTGGAAAATATGAACAATATTTCAACATCACAAATCTTAGAAATTTTAAATGATAGATAAAAAGGAAAACTGTAAGGAATACATAAGCTGAATATATATGATTGCTCAAATTGCTATGATGATTATAAAGAATTCGATGATTAGATAATTGATTTGATTTTTTTCCTTTTTGACAATAATATTTTCAAATATTTGTTTTTGCAAAAAAATAATAATAACTCTATGTTTTTTATGGATTAATTAATAAAAAACAAAGAGTTGTTGAATTTTCGATTATACAAATAAACATATTTATTCGTTAAACTAACTATAAGTAATGATAAAAAGAATATTATCATAACAACGTTTTGTTCAAGCTTTCATTCTCCATAGATTACACATCTGTTCCATTGTGTATCAATTGAAAATACCTGTTTCAATTCTACAATCTTTTGAAATCTATATTTTTTTAATTAATTTTGATGACGAATATTGCAACTTCTCGATGTGTAACGAAAAATTTGAAATCATCTCAATAAATTAATGTTATTAAGAAAATTCTCTTATTACTTATGAAAATACCTTTGATTTTTATACATTTATGCTGCTTACAAGAAAATATTTCTAACTCTCACGTGGTGTTTCTTAATTACTGTTCGATTAGTCCATATGAGTATTAAAATAGTCTTATCTGATTCGATGGCTTGATTTTCACTTGCTGGGTTATTGTCATATGATTCGGTTTGTATTGTATGAGCATGTATCGGAGAGAGCTTGGATGATGGAATTTTGAGCTGACATTTATCAATAAATATATCTTATAGTCATTAGAAATTCTTCAAGGGTTCAACTAGAACAAACGTATCCTTGTCGAGATATCAGCTTGTTATTAAAATATTCCTTCGTTTGAAACACACTGCAAAATAAGTTTGTCTTTAAAATGTGAATATTTTAGCAGAGAATACGTTTGTTCTAGCTCCAAATTTTACGAGTTTGTATGAACTACAACGTTCATCTATAGACAAAATCACAGCTCAAAATTCAAGCATTCAGATCCTCAGCGATCCTGTGCTCATAGCTCAAAAATTAAGTGAAACACTCATAATTCAACAAGCTGCTAATATCAGAAAGCCAAATAAAAACCTATAGAATGGCAACAGTTTCAAATGAAAATTGGTTAGAAAGTTGGGAACGTTCCATTCTAAGTAGATTGAGTAAAACTAATGTTTTCTCAACATAAAAACAGTTTGACACTAAAATATATTCTGTAACTTGTAAAAGATGATTATTTTGTGAAATATCAACTTAACAATATCTCGTGATTGCTATCAATATAGTTCATTATGACATATGCCTATCTAGAATACATGATAACTATCGTCTGAAAACAATATGATACAATCATCAAAATAAAACTAAACAAAAATAGTTACAAGTTAACGATTATGTGGCAACAAGCAAGAATTATAAAACATTGAATATTCAAGTAGACTCTAGTTCCATTAAAGAATAATATAGAAACAAATATGATGAAATTCGACGATCATCTCTCGAACATGAATACTTTTGGAAAGACTTTACTACAATTAAATAGAGATATGTACAATACGTATGTTTTTGAAACAAAGTGGAAGAACAGTATATATCAAATGTCATTTCAAAATTCAATCGCCAACATAATTGTGTAGTTATTGAATTCAATGGAATGAAAGTTATGAATACTTCTACTATTTGAATTCAATCTTATGTTATATTGCTCGTATTAATTTGCTTTATATTGGCTTGTAATACTTGTGTGCTTTGTTGTACTTTTTAGATAACATTGAATTGTTGATAAAACAAAAAATTAATAATATTTTCGTTAGAGATCAACGATTTGAAATATGAAGCTTAAGCAACTATAATATGAATATGCAATATTGGATCGACTTCATTATCGAACAGAACAATATTAACGACGACGGATCTTCTTTAGATGTTCTCTTCCGGTTTCAATGACATTTTTGCCTGTAGATACCACATAGTCTTCTACAAAAATTCTAAAAGGGTTTGAGTTCCTATTGAAATATCACTAGGCTGTAGAATTTTTTTAAACAGAACCTAGATATTCGAAAGCCTCATATTTTTGAATTTCGGTCTAAAATTTTGCGCATATAGAGAAGTCAGTCCGACTAGCTTCAATAAAAGAATTCAGAAGTTTTGTATAAATTATTTTCGGGATGTCAAACTTTCAAAAACGCATTTCCTATCTAGTATTCATTGAATGGGGTATATTATCTTGAGATTATCATATCTTGAACAGACATTGTTCCAAACTTTTGGATTTTTTTTTATTGAAGTTCGTCTAGTTGCGTTCTTTATATGTACAAACTCGTAGCTCAAAGTTCAAAAATACAAATTTTCAGAAAAATCTTCGATCCTACAGAAGTCTCCAAAATAAATTCTTTTAGAATTTTTATTAGAATTCGGTGCAGTATTTATGGACAAACAAAACCATAGAAATCAGAATGAAACATTCGAGGAGATTCTCTCATTTGTTAGAAATAAGCAATTGTATTCAGTTTAAGTAAACTTTGAAATCAATATTCTGTAGATTTCTATATGAGTAAATCATCGACACAGAGTTCATCACCATCATCCTCACCAACAAAAGTCGTTTTTCGTCAACCCGGAACGACAACAAATTCTCAACAAAGAAATTCGCATAGAGAAAATTCACCAGATAACCAATTCAGAATCGGCGATCGAGTTAGTATTCATGGTGCATCAGGAACAATAGTATTTATTGGTTCGACACATTTTGCGGAAGGTTTGATTAATGTTAATTAATTATTTATTTTTCTATGAAATTAAATTTTATAAAATAGGCGAATGGCTTGGAATTAATCTTGATGAAGCACAAGGCAAAAATGGTAAATATCGTGTTAAATAAAAATAGCTGTTACCCATTAAGTTTTACTATTCTTTATAATATTGAGCTGATATTTTGGGTGTATGTGCGCGACAATAAGCCATGACCGCAAACATCAACCCATCCTCCATCGATTCATATGTACTGGAGTTATGATTCACACATATTCTTTCTCTTGTGCAAAACATGTTCAGCGAAAAGATTCACTGAAAAAGTTTTCATTTGCCATTTTCCTATTCCACTAGTTACTAGTGTTTTTTCTAGTGCTAGAGCTTATCCTATATGTCCATTTTATTATCATCAAAGCCGATGACACAGAGTCAAGGTCTTAGTAATTAGCACGTTCTGAAATAGTGAATTCATGTCGTAGCGCTAGATAAAACAATATTTCAGCTATTTTAAAGCGATTTCTCATAAAATTTAAACTATAGTTAGTTACGACATTGGGTTTTCAAATGAGAGGTTGAGCAAAAATATTTGTTTTGAATCATCACCTCAGTACACGTGAAAAAACAGATAGCCTGTTTATTGTTGCACCTATGCACCCAATATGTCACGAAGAATAATAACACTTTATGATGGTAGCAACAGCTACTTTTATCCAGCATTGTATATTCAAAAAGTGAATCTCTTTATTTCCTTTAGATGGTTCACATGGTGGTATTCGCTATTTTGAAACGGATGCTAATCGTGGTCTTTTCTGTCGACCTGATAAAGTTCAACGTTTATCACTTAATGGTTCTTCTCAAAGAAATTCAATACTGTTTAATCAAATCAGATTACCTATCATAGGTATTAAAGAACGATTGTACTATGAGAAAATTTAGTTATTAGCTAGACAGCGTTGCAGAATTGTTTTTCATGTAAAAAAAAACAAGTAATTCTTCAATCAATCATTCATTACAATCTGTTGGAAAAAAACAAGACATTTATTTTGCTATTGAAGTCAGTGAAACTATTCTTTTAAGAAAACACTAAGTTACAATTAAACGTTTCACTGAGAATCATAAAGTATTTTCGACTTTCGTCAACTAGAAGGATTATATCTCGTGTGAATATCTATCAAGTAACTACAACAATTGTTTAGATATATAACATTATGCTCTATTTAAAGTCTTTGAAGTCATGAAAATGTAGGAATTATTTCCTTTGACATCAAGCATTTATACCATAGAGATAAACGATTAGGCTAAGTCTGATTGACTTTTGACTAGAAAATAAAAACTTATTTCAATAAAAATAGACATCAAACTCTAT